GGTAAATAATGTCGCTAAAATCATCAAAGTACCGAATATCAGGAGGTTATCAGGGCTATATGGGGGCTATACCAAAACCTGGACCTACATGGCCAATTTTCAATAACAAAAGTCCTACAGCCTTAATATACATTTGAGTAAAATGTTATCAACCTACTTCATTTTGTTCGAAAACTAGAGTGATTTCCACCGACGGATAGACGGACGGACATTGCTAAATCGACATAGAATTTTATGCTGATCAAGAAAATATATACTTTGTGGGGTCTAAAATGTATATTTTGAGGTGTTGAAAACGGAATGACAAACCTAATATACCATCCATAACATGATGGAGGGTATACAAAAAATCTCCTAGATATCTCAAAATTCAAAACAAAGGCCTTAAAGAGAGAGAGCTGCTAAGAAACGTTGAGGCGGTTCAAACTCCACTCAGCCTTCCGCGAAGACTCTTAATCCAGTAGTAAGAGAAAAAAAATCGTCATAAAAATTCCAAACACGCCGAAGGTCGCTAAATTGGTAGATGATGCGAGATAAAGCAAAAACATTGAATCTTAAGTCAGAAAAAGAGAATGCTCTTAAGGAGTCTCTTAAATACACCCCATCTTATTGGAAGAGATGTAGATGATCATCATATGTGCAAGAGAACACAAATCTACATAGACATTTTCTCAGAGAAGATCAATACCAGAATGTCAGCAATGACTGGGATTGCCAGTAATGACTCTAAACGGATGACAGAGAGGTACAAACTCATGCAAAAGAAGAGTAAAAAAAAAGAAGAGATGATCTGAGAGGCATTAAAGTTTCCCATGAACTTAAAGAGATTGAATAACTTATGGATAACTTAATGGCATTCATAATCTTTGAAAATGGGAAAGACGATTAGCATACTGATACAGAGAACGAGGAATGTTGAAGTCCTCCAAAACGAAACGATGGACGTAAAGAGATGGCATATCTATATCTATAAAAGAGGAAAATGTTTGTACGTTTGTTTGTTTGTTTGTTTGTTTGTTTGTTTGTTTGTAAATTATGGACTCGAAAACTGCTGAAGAGATTTTTCTGAAAATTTCCATATATACTGCAACATCGCCTGAAAGTAACATAGGCTATATAAATTTTTGAATTTCCACTTGGAACTGGAGATATAGCATCAGAATCGGAGGTACCTCCCAAAAATTTAGATTTTATATGCACATATCTATTGATCGGTTAAAGATACAGTCTCCAAATTTGGAATGTGTAACGGAATTTGGAACAAAAATAAGTTTGCTAAATTATATTGTAATCGGTTCAGATTTGGATATAGCTCCCATATATATTTTCGACCGATTTCGTTCATTTGATGCCTCAAACACAATATGAATGTTCGATTCCAATGAAATTTGGAATATGTGACGGGATTTGATCCGAAAATAAATTTGTCAAATTATATTGAAATCGGTTCAGATTTGGATATAGCTCCCATATATATTTTCGGCCGATTTCAAGCATTTGATGCACCAAACACGCTATGTATCCCCAATTTCAATGAAATTTGAAACGTGTGATAGATTTTATCTAAAAAATTTATTTCCCAAATTATATTGAAATCGGTTCAGATTTGGATATAGCTCCCATATACATTTTCGGCCGATTTCATGTGATTGGTGGACCAAACAAGATATGTATGTCCAAATTTAATGAAATTTAAAATAAGTAACGGAATCGGGAGCAAAAATGAATTTTTCAAATTATATTGAATTCGGTTCAGATTTGGATATAGCTCCCATATATATTTTCGACCGATTTCATGTATTTGATGCACCAAACACGCTATGTATCTCTAATTTCAATGAAATTTGAAATGTGTAGCGGAAATTAAAACAAATATACATTTGTCAAATTATATTAAAATCGGTTCAGATTTGGATATAGCTCTCATATATATTTTCGACCGATTTCAAGTATTTTATGCATCATACACGATATGTATGTTCGATTTCCAAGAATTTTGGAATATGTAACGGGATTTTGATTAGAAAATAAATTAGTCAAATTATATTAAAATCGGTTCAGATTTGGATATAGCTCCCATATATATTATCCGCCGATTTCACATATTTGATGCACATTTGACAAATTATATTCAAATACGCTCAGATGTGATTATAGCTCCATATATATACTCAGCCGATTTCACATATTTGATGCACCCAAAGCGAGAGAGACAAAATCTGGCACCAGCAAAAATTGCACAATTATATTGAAATAAGTTGAGGTTTGGATATAGCTAACATATATATTTCGGCCGATTTCATACATATTATGCACCAAACACGATATATATGACCGATTCCAATGAAATTCAGAATGTGTGGCGGAATTTTGTTATAATAATAAATGTGATAAATTAATTGGAAATTAGTTAAGATTTGGATATAGCTCCCATATATATATTCTCGGCCGATTTCACATATTTGACGCACCAATTTCAATTAAATATGAAAGGTGTAGCGGAGTTTGGTGTAAAAGTAATTTTTTTTAAATTATATTTAAATCGGATCAGATTGGGATATGATTTTAATAAGAACCATTGACCCACAACGCCTTAGGCTAACACTCAAAAACAACACAACAATTTATTTGAAATACGCTTATTACGGCGAAGTATGTTGCTATCTCAAATTCACTACTTGCAATAGAAATGCCACTCTACTTAAAAAAATTGCAGTTTCCTGCACGCTTGGTATTTGCAATGAAATAAATAAATCTAAAGGACAAACCCTTCGTGTATGCATGTCATGTTACTGCTTTTGTAATGATTTTGTTTATTAACGCATTAAATTAGTGCAATATTTTTTTTAATTTTTAAATTTGTTTTTCTTTATCCAACATATATTCGTAAATAAAATTTTGAATGCATATAAAATCAAAAGGGGTAGCGAAGCGCACCGGGTTCAGCTAGTATATATATATATATATATATATATATATATATATATATATATATATATATATATATATATATATATATATATATATTAAAACATATTATCGAATTAGTACTCCCATTAATGCTGGAGCTCTAGTAGGGGCATTGAATTTAGCTGGTGTCAAGGTCCATATGAGAGATTTTTTTTTTTCAAAAAATTATACCCTGGATGCAATGGAATATAATATTCAAAATGAGTTTCAAAAAACGTGGTCTAGAATAAATTAAAAAGAGTTAGTGGGATTTCAAATCTTTAAAAAGAAATAATAATGTGTTGTTAGTATTCAATATTATTTCTAGGAAACGATTGCGATGCGGACTTTTTTGGAAGTATTTTTAATATTCGGAATTTTGTCGAGCTCAGTTCTGGCAGCTGATGTAAGTAGAGAGAGAGATATTAAAAGAATTTGCACTACCTTTTTTTAAAATTAAGAAATTTTTTGTTCCACCCTATTACAGGCCTTAAACAGGATTTAAAAATTTGAGAACGAAATATGGAAATGAATAAAGGAATTAAAGTATGAACATAAATTAGGGGTTTTTTAATGGTTTTTTAAAAATGTGTTTTCTAAGGGTACCATCATATATATATTTATGAAGAAATCCACGTTAGTGGATTTTATAAACAAATAATTTGTAAAAAATTGACGTTAGTGGATTTTATAAACAAATAATTTGTAAAAAATTAACGTTAGTGGATTTTATAAAAAAAATAATTTGTAAAAAATTGACGTTAGTGGATTTTATAAAAAAATAATTTAGCGGATTTTATGAAAAAATAATTTTTTCATTAAATCCACAAACGTGGAATTTAAAAAATTATTTTTTTCCACAAACATGAATTTTATTTTTTTTAATAAAATCCCCAAACTTGGAATATAATTTTTTTTTTTAAATTCAAAAATAATTGAATTTTATATATTTCTAATAAAATCCACAAACGAGGAATTTTATTTTTTTAATAAATACCACAAACGTGGATTTCTTAAAAATAATTTTTTTAATGAAATCCACAAACGTGGATTTTTTTAATGAAATCCACAAACGTGGATTTTTTTAATGAAATCCACAAACGTAGATTTTTTAAAAATTATTTTTTTAATGAAATCCACAAACGTAGATTTTTTAAAAATTATTTTTTTAATGAAATCCACAAACGTGGATTTTTTAAAAATTATTTTTTTAATGAAATCCACAGCCGTGGATTTTTAAAAAAATATTTTTTTAATTAAATCCACAAACGTGGATTTTTTAAAAATTATTTTTTAATGAAATCCACAAACGTGGATTTTTTAAAAACTATTTTTTTAATGAAATCCACAAACGTGGATTTTTTAAAATTTTTTTTTTAATGAAATCCACAAACGTGGATTTTTTTAAATTTTTTTTTTAATGAAATCCACAAACGTGGATTTTTTAAAAATTATTTTTTTAATGAAATCCACAAACGTGGATTTTTTAAAAATTATTTTTTTAATGAAATCCACAAACGTGGATTTTTTAAAAATTATTTTTTTAATGAAATCCACAAACGTGGATTTTTTAAAAATTGTTTTTTTAATGAAATCCACTAACGTGGATTTTTTAAAAACTATTTTTTTAATGAAATCCACAAACGTGGATTTTTTAAAAATTATTTTTTTAATGAAATCCACAAACGTGGATTTTTTAAAAACTATTTTTTTAATGAAATCCACAAACGTGGATTTTTAAAAAAATATTTTTTTAATGAAATCCACAAACGTGGATTTTTAAAAAAATATTTTTTTAATGAAATCCACAAACGTGGATTTTTAAAAAAATATTTTTTTAATGAAATCCACAAACGTGGATTTTTAAAAAAATATTTTTTTAATGAAATCCACAAACGTGGATTTTTAAAAAAAATATTTTTTAAGAAATGGACTTTTAAATATCTGTTTTTTAAATATATATCCGGGGGAATATTATATTTTTATTTCTATAAAATATTTTTTATCAGTCTTTAATTGTTTCAAAATTTTAATTTTAGTCAAAAAATCTCTTAATTTCTATGACCCCTCTTTAGAAGCCCCAAAAGATGTGACACAAACGACCTGGTCTTGCTGGTGCTGGGTTTACGAGGCAACTCCTCTCCGCCATCCTCATTTGTACGGGCCTCCCCATATTTTTGGCCACCGTAAGATGGAATTTCCACCACCAATGAAGGCACATCTTGCTCTCCGATTTGTAGAGGTCTTTGTGAATTGGGATAGCTTTCCAATTCCAAGGACGATTCTTTACGTTTTTTGGTCTTTTCCGGTTTGGAAAGTATTTCTTCACCTGGAAATTTGAGATTTTTTTTAGGATTTTTATAAAATTTCAAAAAATTTTCACCACCTACCAAAACTTTCCAAAATATCATCTGTTAGTAGCAGCAGCGATGAGCTCTCCTCTTGCGGAATGCCAATAAAGAAACCATCCAATTTGACGCGATAATTTTCTGAACCCTTTTGCCTCTGGTCATAGTGTAGATCATAGTTATCCTGTGGAGACAACAGGGCAGTCAGGGCCATAATTTGATTGAAATTCAAATTGGAATCCTCATTGTAATCTTGTTTCAGCACCGGTTTGGACCAAACCAAATTTACGCAGCAACCGAATGCCAGCAATGAAAACACAAATAAACGATTGTGGAATTTGCACATTTTTCGTTTTTTTAACTCAGTCCGCTCAGGATTGTTGTCTTTGAACCTTCCTGTTGGGCCAGCAGTTATGTAATAAGTTCTGGTTAGTTCGGCACCCAACCATGAAGCCATATTTGAGACTTGTTCTTCTTTGACTTTGCAGCAAGACCTGTTCCCTGTGGATGACTTCATGGATCTGGCTTACATTGGTTCTTCTTTCATTCTAACGACAGTGGAACCCTCTTCAATTTTTTTTAAATCTACGTTTAAAAAAACAATTTTTAAAAAATCCACGTTTGTGGATTTCATTAAAAAAATAATTTTAAAAAATCCACGTTTGTGGATTTCATTAAAAAAATAATTTTTAAAAAATCCACGTTTGTGGATTTCATTAAAAAAATAATTTTTAAAAAATCCACGTTTGTGGATTTCATTAAAAAAATAATTTTTAAAAAATCCACGTGTGTGGATTTCATTAAAAAAATAATTTTTAAAAAATCCACATTTGTGGATTTCATTAAAAAAATAATTTTTAAAAAATCCACGTTTGTGGATTTCATTAAAAAAATAATTTTTAAAAAATCCACGTTTGTGGATTTCATTAAAAAAATAATTTTTAAAAAATCCACGTTTGTGGATTTCATTAAAAAAATAATTTTTAAAAAATCCACGTTTGTGGATTTCATTAAAAAAATAATTTTTAAAAAATCCGCGTTTGTGGATTTCATTAAAAAAATAATTTTGAAAAAATCCACGTTTGTGGAAAATAATTTTGAAAAAATCCCCGTTTGTGAAAAAAAATTTTTTTTTCAATTTTTTTTAAGTGCTTCCTTCATAGCCTCGTCATCCTGTCTTATGTGTGTATGTCTGTGTGTTCTTCCCAACGATTATGTAACACCCAAAGGCAGACTGGTTTCTTAGATTAATGTTTGGTTCTTCCTGGTCATTTGAATCGGGAGAAGTGGGCGGGAAATTATCTGTTTTGTTCTTGTGATTGCTTGACACTGGTTGTGCATCATGGCATTCAGCAGAGATTCTGACTTTCTTCCCTTCGGCAAACTTGTCCTCTTGGTTTGGTGGTCAGTTCAGTTTGGTAGCAGATGTGAAGCTTTGGATTTTTTTGTGTGGCAGAATTTACAAAAGACTTCCGCATTTTTGTGTAATCTTCAAATCAATACTTTGGCAGCCAAAGAAGTAGAAAATAATTGGAGATGCGAATATTTCTAAAAAACTGAAGGAGATTTTTTAAGTCAATGAAAAAATATTTTTAAAAAATCCACGTTTATATATGGGCCTCTGGAAAAATATTTTTAAAAAATCCACGTTTAAAAAGGGCCTCTGTAAAAATACTTTTAAAAAATCCTCGTTCATGTATGGGCCTCTGGAAAAATATTTTTAAAAAATCTACGTGTATATATGGGTCTCTGGAAAAATATTTTTAAAAAATCTACGTGTATATATGGGTCTCTGGAAAAATATTTTTAAAAAATCTACGTGTATATACGGGTCTCTGGAAAAATATTTTTAAAAAATCTACGTGTATATATGGGCCTCTGGAAAAATATTTTTAAAAAATCCACGTTTATATTTGGGCCTCTGGAAAAATATTTTTAAAAAATCCACATTTATATTTGGGCCTCTGGAAAAATATTTTTAAAAAATCCACCTTTATATTTGGGCCTCTGGAAAAATATTTTTAAAAAATCCAAGTTTATATTTGGGCCTCTGGAAAAATATTTTTAAAAAATCCACGTTTATATTTGGGCCTCTGGAAAAATATTTTTAAAAAATCCACGTTTATATTTGGGCCTCTGGAAAAATATTTTTAAAAAATCCACCTTTATATTTGGGCCTCTGGAAAAATATTTTGAAAAAATCCACGTTGAAAAAATATTTTTAAAAAATCCACGTTTATATTTGGGCCTCTGGAAAAATATTTTGAAAAAATCCACGTTGAAAAAATATTTTTAAAAAATCCACGTTTATATTTGGGCCTTTGGAAAAATATTTTTAAAAAATTCACGTTAATATATGGGCCTCTGGTAAAATATTTTGAAAAAATCCACGTTGAAAAAATATTTTTAAAAAATCCACGTTTATATTTGGGCCTCTGGAAAAATATTTTTAAAAAATCCACGTTGAAAAAATATTTTTAAAAAATCCACGTTTATATTTAGCCTTTGGAAAAATATTTTTAAAAAATTCACGTTAATATATGGGCCTCTGGAAAAATATTTTGAAAAAATCCACGTTGAGAAAATATTTTTTGAAAAATCCACGTTTATATTTGGGCCACTGGAAAAATATTTTTTAAAAAATCCACGTTTATATTTGGGCTCTGGAAAAATATTTTTAAAAAATTCACTTTAATATATGGGCCTCTGAAAAAATATTTTTAAAAAAACCACGTTTATATTTGGGCCTCTGAAAAAATATTTTTAAAAAATCCACGTTTATATTTGGGCCTTTGGAAAAATATTTTTAAAAAATTCACATTAATATATGGGCCTCTGGAAATATATTTTGAAAAAATCCACGTTGAAAAAATATTTTTAAAAAATCCACGTTTATATTTGGGCCACTGGAAAAATATTTTTTAAAAAATCCACGTTTATATTTGGGCTCTGGAAAAATATTTTTAAAAAATCCACGTTTATATTTGGGCTCTGGAAAAATATTTTTAAAAAATCCACGTTTATACTTGGGCCTCTGGAAAAATATTTTTAAAAAATCCACGTTTATATTTGGGCCTCTGGAAAAATATTTTTAAAAAATCCACGTTTATATTTGGGCCTCTGGAAAAATATTTTTAAAAAATCCACGTTTATATTTGGGCCTCTGGAAAAATATTTTTAAAAAATCCACGTTTATATTTGGGCCTCTGGAAAAATATTTTTAAAAAATCCACGTTTATATTTGGGCCACTGGAAAAATATTTTTTAAAAAATCCACGTTTATATTTGGGCTCTGGAAAAATATTTTTAAAAAATTCACTTTAATATATGGGCCTCTGAAAAAATATTTTTAAAAAAACCACGTTTATATTTGGGCCTCTGAAAAAATATTTTTAAAAAATCCACGTTTATATTTGGGCCTCTGGAAAAATATTTTAAAAATTCCACGTTTATATTTGGGCCTCTGGAAAAATATTTTTAAAAAATCCACGGTTATATTTGGGCCTCTGGAAAAATATTTTTAAAAAATCCACGGTTATATTTGGGCCTCTGGAAAAATATTTTAAAAATTCCACGTTTATATTTGGGCCTCTGGAAAAATATTTTAAAAAATCCACGTTTATATATGGGCCCCTGGAAAAATATTTTTAAAAAATCCACGCTTATATTTGGGACTCTGAAAAACATTTTTAAAAAATCCACGTTTATATTTGGGCCTCTGGAAAAATATTTTTAAAAAAGCTACGTTTATAATGGGCCCCTGGAAAAATATTTTTAAAAAATCCACGTTTATAAATGGGCCTCTGGAAAAATATTTTTAAAAAAGCTACGTTTATATATGGGCCCCTGGAAAAATATTTTTAAAAAATCCAAGTTTATATTTGGGCCCCTGGAAAAATATTTTTAAAAAATCCACGCTTATATTTGGGCCTCTGGAAAAATATTTTTAAAAAATCCACGTTTATAAATGGGCCTCTGGAAAAATATTTTTAAAAAAGCTACGTTTATATATGGGCCCCTGGAAAAATATTTTTAAAAAATCCACGTTTATATTTGGGCCTCTGGAAAAATATTTTTAAAAAAACCACGTTTATGTGTAGGCCTCTGGAAAAATATTTTTAAAAAATCCACGTTTATATTTGGGCCTCTGGAAAAATATTTTTAAAAAATCCACGTTTATATTTGGGCCTCTGGAAAAATATTTTTAAAAAATCCACGTTTATATTTGGGCCTCTGGAAAAATATTTTTAAAAAATCCACGTTTATATTTGGGCCTCTGGAAAAATATTTTTAAAAAATCCACGTTTATATTTGGGCCTCTGGAAAAATATTTTTAAAAAATCCACGTTTATATTTAGGGTTCTAGAAAAATATTTTTAAAAAATCCACGTTTATATTTGGGCCTCTGGAAAAATATTTTTAAAAAATCCACGTTTATATTTGGGCCTCTGGAAAATATTAAAAAAAAACACGTTTATATTTGGGCCTCGGGAAAAATATTTTAAAAAATCCACGTTTATATTTGGGCCTCTGAAAAAATATTTTTAAAAAATCCACGTTTATATTTGGGGCTTGAAAAAATATTTTTATAAAATCCACGTTATATGTAGGTCTCTAGAAAAATATTTTTTAAAAATCTAAGTATATATTTGGGCCTCTGGAAAAATATTTTTAAAAATAACCAACCAAAAAATCCAAAGCATTTAGAAATAATTAGAGCCCATGAAGTTTTCTGTGAAAGGATGAGACCTAGAGGAGGTGAATTTGGGCTCTGTTAAGCATTCAAAATAAATATTTTTAATATTTTGTTTTGAAATAAGTTTTGTTGTTTTGTTTTTGTTTTTCGATTGGCCAGACAAAACAACTTCACAGACGAACAACAAACATGTCTGAGGTCACTTCAGTCCACATGAAGCCACGTGAAGGTGTTCTGCCAGTTTGAATTTTTTTCTTGTAAAATGGAAATTGAAAATTTATTTTCCTCTTTTGAATTCGGAAAAAATATCCATCAACCATTTGTCACCTTTCGAATTGCATAACCCGCAATTAAAAATATTTTCTGCAAAAAAAAAAAAAAAATAAATAAAACGCCCACAAAATTAAAATCCTGGCAAATTATAGGGTGTCCTGTGACACCTAACACCTTTGGAGATGATATAAGGACCCCCCAACATCATGCGATTTGGTAACATTGAAATCACATCCACTCATCGCTTCATTCGGAACGGCAGTTAAACTCTCCAGTCCCGCCATGTACAACAACGTCGACGGTAAGACTCGCCAGGATTTGGAATTTTTGGATGTCCAATATCGGGCACTCATACGCGTTGGCCTGGACATTGGTGCAATTCGGGGCAAGGATTTTCTCAACGATCGTGGAAAATTCCTTATCTATGGCATCATCACCACCTATCTGCAATATGGCCTGATTCTATTTGCGGTCCACATCTTCGGTGTGCAGATAGACAAGGCCAGTGCCGCCCTTTCGATGTTCAATCAGGGTTCGCTGCTAATGTTGAAGGTTTCGATTTTAATTTTCAAATCGAATCGGTTGTTGAAATTAATTTGGGATATGAATCTGCTGGCAACAATGGGTGAGTGTTCTAGGGGGGGGGGAAATATTTCCAAGGGTGTGTATTTTAAAAATTCCCTTTTTCGAATTTTAATATTTTTCCAACAATTCGTTTTCAATATTCTTTCAACATTTCCTTTTCTTTTTTAATTTCCAGCCAATGAGCCGGAAAGGGAAACCTGGCTGTCGGAAAATCGTTTTTCGAAGGTCATTGGAAATATTTACTCCACGGCCTGTATTGCCTCGGTGATACTCTCCATATCCATACCGATAATTTTCATGAGCTATGAACACTTCAAGGGTCTGGAGGTGTCGCTGAAACTACCCTTTGATGGAGAGTGAGTAGAGAAGAGTCTTAAAAAATTATATTTAAGAGATTTTTTCAAGGGGTGGAATTTTAAACGTTTTTTTTTTCAAGGCGTGGATTTTTATAAAAATAAATTTTCAAGGCGTGGATTTTTATAAAAATAATTTTTCAAGGCGTGGATTTTTATAAAAATAATTTTTCAAGGCGTGGATTTTTATAAAAATAATTTTTCAAGGCGTGGATTTTTATAAAAATAATTTTTCAAGGCGTGGATTTTTATAAAAATAATTTTTCAAGGCGTGGATTTTTATAAAAATAATTTTTCAAGGCGTGGATTTTTATAAAAATAATTTCTCAAGGCGTGGATTTTTATAAAAATAATTTTTCAAGGCGTGGATTTTTATAAAAATAATTTTTCAAGGCGTGGATTTTTATAAAAATAATTTGTCAAGGCGTGGATTTTTATAAAAATAATTTTTCAAGGCGTGGATTTTTATAAAAATAATTTTTCAAGGCGTGGATTTTTATAAAAATAATTTTTCAAGGCGTGGATTTTTATAAAAATAATTTGTCAAGGCGTGGATTTTTATAAAAATAATTTTTCAAGGCGTGGATTTTTATAAAAATAATTTTTCAAGGCGTGGATTTTTATAAAAATAATTTTTCAAGGCGTGGATTTTTATAAAAATAATTTTTCAAGGCGTGGATTTTTAAAAATATATTTTTTCAAGGCAAGGATTTTTAAAAAAAGAATTTCTCAAGGTGTCGATTTTTATAAAAATAATTTCTCAAGGCGTGGATTTTTATAAAAAGAATTTCTCAAGGCGTCGATTTTTATAAAAATAATTTCTCAAGGCGTGGATTTTTATAAAAATAATTTTTCAAGGCGTGGATTTTTATAAAAAGAATTTCTCAAGGCGTGAATTTTTATAAAAATAATTTCTCAAGGCGTGGATTTTTATAAAAATAATTTTTCAAGGCGTGGATTTTTATAAAAATAATTTCTCAAGGCGTGGATTTTTATAAAAATAATTTCTCAAGGCGTGGATTTTTATAAAAATAATTTCTCAAGGCGTGGATTTTTATAAAAATAATTTTTCAAGGCGTGGATTTTTATAAAAATAATTTTTCAAGGCGTGGACTTTTATAAAACAAAAAATTCAAGGCGTGAATTTTTATAAAAATAATTTTTCAAGGCGTGGATTTTTATAAAAATAATTTTTCAAGGCGTGGACTTTTATAAAACAAAAAATTCAAGGCGTGAATTTTTATAAAAATAATTTTTCAAGGCGTGGATTTTTATAAAAATAATTTTTCAAGGCGTGGATTTTTATAAAAATAATTTTTCAAGGCGTGGATTTTTATAAAAATAATTTTTCAAGGCGTGGATTTTTATAAAAATAATTTTTCAAGGCGTGGATTTTTATGAAAATAATTTTTAAAGGCGTGGATTTTTATAAAAATATTTTTTCAAGGCGAGGAATTTTATAAAAATATTTTTCAAGGCGAGGAATTTTATAAAAATATTTTTTCAAGGCGTGGATTTTTATAAAAATATTTTTTCAAGGCGTGGATTTTTATAAAAATATTTTTTCAAGGCGTGGATATAAAAATAATTTTTCAAGGCGTGGATATAAAAATAATTTTTCAAGGCGTGGATTTTTATAAAAATATTTTTTCAAGGCGTGGATATAAAAATATTTTTTCAAGGCGTGGATATAAAAATAATTTTTCAAGGCGTGGATATAAAAATAATTTTTCAAGGCGTGGATTTTTTATAAAAATAATTTTTCAAGGCGTGGATATAAAATATTTTTTCAAGGCGTGGATATAAAAATAATTTTTCAAGGCGTGGATTTTTTATAAAAATAATTTTTCAAGGCGTGGATTTTTTATAAAAATAATTTTTCAAGTCGTGGATTTTTTATAAAAATAATTTTTCAAGGCGTGGATTTTTTATAAAAATAATTTTTCAAGGCGTGGATTTTTTATAAAAATAATTTTTCAAGGCGTGGATTTTTTATAAAAATAATTTTTCAAGGCGTGGATTTTTTATAAAATAATTTTTCAAGGCGTGGATTTTTTATAAAAATAATTTTTCAAGGCGTGGATTTTTTATAAAAATAATTTTTCAAGGCGTGGATTTTTTATAAAAATAATTTTTCAAGGCGTGGATTTTTTATAAAAATAATTTTTCAAGGCGTGGATTTTTTATAAAAATAATTTTTCAAGGCGTGGATTTTTTATAAAAATAATTTTTCAAGGCGTGGATTTTTTATAAAAATAATTTTTCAAGGCGTGGATTTTTATAAAAATAATTTTTCAAGGCGTGGATTTTTATAAAAATAATTTTTCAAGGCGTGGATTTTTATAAAAATAATTTTTCAAGGCGTGGATTTTTATAAAAATAATTTTTCAAGGCGTGGATTTTTATAAAAATAATTTTTCAAGGCGTGGATTTTTATAAAAATAATTTTTCAAGGCGTGGATTTTTATAAAAATAATTTTTCAAGGCGTGGATTTTTATAAAAATAATTTTTCAAGGCGTGGATTTTTATAAAAATAATTTTTCAAGGCGTGGATTTTTATAAAAATAATTTTTCAAGGCGTGGATTTTTATAAAAATAATTTTTCAAGGCGTGGATTTTTATAAAAATAATTTTTCAAGGCGTGGATTTTTATAAAAATAATTTTTCAAGGCGTGGATTTTTATAAAAATAATTTTTCAAGGCGTGGATTTTTATAAAAATAATTTTTCAAGGCGTGGATTTTTATAAAAATAATTTTTCAAGGCGTGGATTTTTATAAAAATAATTTTTCAAGGCGTGGATTTTTATAAAAATAATTTTTCAAGGCGTGGCGTTTATAAAAATAATTTTTCAAGGCGTGGATTTTTATAAAAATAATTTTTCAAGGCGTGGATTTTTATAAAAATAATTTTTCAAGGCGTGGATTTTTATAAAAATAATTTTTCAAGGCGTGGATTTTTATAAAAATAATTTTTCAAGGCGTGGATTTTTATAAAAATAATTTTTCAAGGCGTGGATTTTTATAAAAATAATTTTCAAGGCGTGGATTTTTATAAAAATAATTTTTCAAGGCGTGGACTTTTATAAAACAAAAAATTCAAGGCGTGGATTTTTATAAAAATAATTTTTCAAGGCGTGGACTTTTATAAAACAAAAAATTCAAGGCGTGGATTTTTATAAAAATAATTTTTCAAGGCGTGGACTTTTATAAAACAAAAAATTCAAGGCGTGGATTTTTATAAAAATAATTTTTCAAGGCGTGGATTTTTATAAAAATAATTTTTCAACACGTGGATTTTTATAAAAATAATTTTTCAAGCCGTGGATTTTTATAAAAATAATTTTTCAAGCCGTGGATTTTTATAAAAATAATTTTTCAAGGCGTGGATTTTTATAAAAATAATTTTTCAAGGCGTGGTCTTTTATAAAACAAAAAATTCAAGGCGTGAATTTTTATAAAAATAATTTTTCAAGGCGTGGATTTTTATAAAAATAATTTTTCAAGGCGTGGACTTTTATAAAACAAAAAATTCAAGGCGTGAATTTTTATAAAAATAATTTTTCAAGGCGTGGATTTTTATAAAAATAATTTTTCAAGGCGTGGATTTTTATAAAAATAATTTTTCAAGGCGTGGATTTTTATAAAAATAATTTTTCAAGGCGTGGATTTTTATAAAAATAATTCTTCAAGGTGTGGATTTTTATGAAAATAATTTTTAAAGGCGTGGATTTTTATAAAATATTTTTTCAAGGCGAGGAATTTTATAAAAATATTTTTTCAAGGCGAGGAATTTTATAAAAATATTTTTTCAAGGCGTGGATTTTTATAAAAATATTTTTTCAAGGCGTGGATTTTTATAAAAATATTTTTTCAAGGCGTGGATATAAAAATAATTTTTCAAGGCGTGGATTTTTATAAAAATATTTTTTCAAGGCGTGGATATAAAAATAATTTTTCAAGGCGTGGATATAAAAATAATTTTTCAAGGCGTGGATTTTTTATAAAAATAATTTTTCAAGGCGTGGGTTTTTTATAAAAATAATTTTTCAAGGCGTGGATTTTTTATAAAAATAATTTTTCAAGGCGTGGATTTTTTATAAAAATAATTTTTCAAGGCGTGGATTTTTTATAAAAATAATTTTTCAAGGCGTGGATTTTTTATAAAAATAATTTTTCAAGGCGTGGATTTTTTATAAAAATAATTTTTCAAGGCGTGGATTTTTTATAAAAATAATTTTTCAAGGCGTGGATTTTTTATAAAAATAATTTTTCAAGGCGTGGATTTTTTATAAAAATAATTTTTCAAGGCGTGGATTTTTTATAAAAATAATTTTTCAAGGCGTGGATTTTTTATAAAAATAATTTTTCAAGGCGTGGATTTTTTATAAAATAATTTTTCAAGGCGTGGATTTTTTATAAAAATAATTTTTCAAGGCGTGGATTTTTTATAAAAATAATTTTTCAAGGCGTGGATTTTTTATAAAAATAATTTTTCAAGGCGTGGATTTTTTATAAAAATAATTTTTCAAGGCGTGGATTTTTTATAAAAATAATTTTCAAGGCGTGGATTTTTTATAAAAATAATTTTTCAAGGCGTGGATTTTTTATAAAAATAATTTTTCAAGGCGTGGATTTTTTATAAAAATAATTTTTCAAGGCGTGGATTTTTTATAAAAATAATTTTTCAAGGCGTGGATTTTTTATAAAAATAATTTTTCAAGGCGTGGATTTTTTATAAAAATAATTTTTCAAGGCGTGGATTTTTTATAAAAATAATTTTTCAAGGCGTGGATTTTTTATAAAAATAATTTTTCAAGGCGTGGATTTTTTATAAAAATAATTTTTCAAGGCGTGGATTTTTATAAAAATAATTTTTCAAGGCGTGGATTTTTTATAAAAATAATTTTTCAAGGCGTGGATTTTTTATAAAAATAATTTTTCAAGGCGTGGATTTTTTATAAAAATAATTTTTCAAGGCGTGGATTTTTTATAAAAATAATTTTTCAAGGCGTGGATTTTTTATAAAAATAATTTTTCAAGGCGTGGATTTTTTATAAAAATAATTTTTCAAGGCGTGGATTTTTTATAAAAATAATTTTTCAAGGCGTGGATTTTTTATAAAAATAATTTTTCAAGGCGTGGAATTTTTTATAAAAATAATTTTTCAAGGCGTGATTGTTTATAAAAATAATTTTTCAAGGCGTGGATTTTTTATAAAAATAATTTTTCAAGGCGTGGATTTTTTATAAAATAATTTTTCAAGGCGTGGATTTTTATAAAAATAATTTTTCAAGGCGTGGATTTTTATAAAAATAATTTTTCAAGGCGTGGATTTTTATAAAATAATTTTTCAAGGCGTGGATTTTTATAAAAATAATTTTTCAAGGCGTGGATTTTTATAAAAATAATTTTTCAAGGCGTGGATTTTTATAAAAATAATTTTTCAAGGCGTGGATTTTTATAAAAATAATTTTTCAAGGCGTGGATTTTTATAAAAATAATTTTTCAAGGCGTGGATTTTTATAAAAATAATTTTTCAAGGCGTGGATTTTTATAAAAATAATTTTTCAAGGCGTGGATTTTTATAAAAATAATTTTTCAAGGCGTGGATTTTTATAAAAATAATTTTTCAAGGCGTGGATTTTTATAAAAATAATTTTTCAAGGCGTGGATTTTTATAAAAATAATTTTTCAAGGCGTGGATTTTTATAAAAATAATTTTTCAAGGCGTGGATTTTTATAAAAATAATTTTTCAAGGCGTGGATTTTTATAAAAATAATTTTTCAAGGCGTGGATTTTTATAAAATAATTTTTCAAGGCGTGGATTTTTATAAAAATAATTTTTCAAGGCGTGGATTTTTATAAAAATAATTTTTCAAGGCGTGGATTTTTATAAAAATAATTTTTCAAGGCGTGGATTTTTATAAAAATAATTTTTCAAGGCGTGGATTTTTATAAAAATAATTTTTCAAGGCGTGGATTTTTATAAAAATAATTTTTCAAGGCGTGGATTTTTATAAAAATAATTTTTCAAGGCGTGGATTTTTTATAAAAATAATTTTTCAAGGCGTGGATTTTTTATAAAAATAATTTTTCAAGGCGTGGATTTTTTATAAAAATAATTTTTCAAGGCGTGGATTTTTTATAAAAATAATTTTTCAAGGCGTGGATTTTTTATAAAAATAATTTTTTTCCAGATTTCCCTATGAACACCTGGGCATACCGATATTCATTCTCAACTACATCCTCTCCGTCATCTATGTGTATACCCTGCTCTGTTGGACGATTGGCATTGATACGCTTTTCGGTTGGCTAATTCATGCTGTATCGGGACATTTTCGTATTCTCCGCCTCAAAGTGGAAATGGCTGCCAAGAAAATCGATGAACATGGAAATCATCTCGATTTCGTCCAGGATATTGGAGCCATTGTGAGATATCACATTAAAACCCTTGGCTTTGTCGATGCCTTGAATGAAATTTTTGGTCAGATATTTTGGGCCGAGGTTGCCTTCAGCTGTCTGCAGATGTGTTTTCTGATTTTCACCCTAAACAATGGATCGGACAAGCGGATGATACCATTCAATGCCATGGTCTTCACTGCGATCAGTATTCAAATGATGATCTACTGTTTTGGCGGGGAGAAAATTAAATCGGAGGTGGGTGAAGGAGCGGAATTTGTATTTTTGTCTTTAATTTTTGTTTTTTTTTTCATTTCTAGAATGAAATGTTTTGTTTCGATATTTATTCGAAATTTCCCTGGGAGAAAATGTATCCATCGGAGAAGAGAATGATGCTATTGCCACTGCAGCGATCCCAGCAGGATGCTGCCTTGAGGGGATTATTTTTTGAGTTGGATCGCAATTTGTTGGTCTATGTGAGTCATTTGAAAGTTCTGGCTTAAAATTGATTCTATTTTGAATTCAATATTTGTTTTTTACAGATTTATCGCACAGCTTTCTCCTACAACACCCTGTTGGGCGCCATGAAAGAATAATTTAGAATGGGAGCGAAAATTTTGTCAAATCTTTGGAACTTTGAAGTTCACACTTTCACCTGAAGTTCACATTTGTTTGCTAATAGAACTTAATTCAAATAGTAATTTGCACCAATTAGTTCAATTAGTTTGTAGAAGTGCAGTAGTCTTTTGATTTTTTTTAGAATAAAAAAGGTAAAAAAATATGATTTAGGTTGGAGTTCATTTATTCAAAAATATTTTTAAAAAATCCACATTTATATTTAGGCCTCTAGAAAAATATTTTTAAAAAATCCACGTTTATATTTAGGCCTCTGGAAAAATATTCTTAAAAAATCCACGTTTATATTTAGGCCTCTGGAAAAATATTTTTAAAAAATCCAGGTTTATATTTAGGCCTCTGGAAAAATATTCTTAAAAAATCCACGTTTATATTTAGGCCTCTAGAAAAATATTTTTAAAAAATCTACGTTTATATTTAGGCCTCTGGAAAAATATTTTTAAAAAATCCACGTTTATATTTAGGCCTCTGGAAAAATATTTTTAAAAAATCCACGTTTATATTTAGGTCCTGGAAAAATATTTTTAAAAAATCCACGTTTATATTTAGGCCTCTGGAAAATATTTTTAAAAAATCCACGTTTATATTTAGGCCTCTGGAAAAATATTTTTAAAAAATCCACGTTTATATTTAGGCCTCTGGAAAAATATTTTTAAAAAATCCACGTTTATATTTAGGCCTCTGGAAAAATATTTTTAAAAAATCCACGTTTATATTTAGGCCTCTGGAAAATATTTTTAAAAAATCCACGTTTATATTTAGGCCTCTGGAAAAATATTTTTAAAAAATCCACGTTTATATTTAGGCCTCTGGAAAAATATTTTTAAAAAATCCACGTTTATATTTAGGCCTCTGGAAAAATATTTTTAAAAAATCCACGTTTATATTTAGGCCTCTGGAAAATATTTTTAAAAAATCCACGTTTATATTTAGGCCTCTGGAAAAATATTTTTAAAAAATCCAAGTTTATATTTAGGCCTCTGGAAAAATATTTTTAAAAAATCCACGTTTATATTTAGGCCTTTAGAAAAATATTTTTAAAAAATCCACGTTTATATTTAGGCCTTTAGAAAAATATTTTTAAAAAATCCACGTTTATATTTAGGCCTTTAGAAAAATATTTTTAAAAAATCCACGTTTATATTTAGGCCTTTAGAAAAATATTTTTAAAAAATCCACGTTTATATTTAGGCCTTTAGAAAAATATTTTTAAAAAATCCACGTTTATATTTAGGCCTTTAGAAAAATATTTTTAAAAAATCCACGTTTATATTTAGGCCTTTAGAAAAATATTTTTAAAAAATCCACGTTTATATTTAGGCCTTTCGAAAAATATTTTTAAAAAATCCACGTTTATATTTAGGCCTTTAGAAAAATATTTTTAAAAATCTTCTGTTATATTTTGGTCTGCCGAAAAATATTTTTAAAAAATCCACGTTTATATTTAGGCCTCTAGAAAAATATTTTTAAAAAATCCACGTTTATATTTAGGCCTCTAGAAAAATATTTTTAAAAAATCCACGTTTATATTTAGGCCTCTGGAAAAATATTTTTAAAAAATCCACGTTTATATTTAGGCCTCTAGAAAAATATTTTTAAAAAATCCACGATAATATTTAGGCTTCTGGAGAAATATTTTTAAAAAATCCACGTTTATATTTTGGCCTCTAGAAAAATATTTTTAAAAAATCCACGTTTATATTTAGGGCTCTAGAAAAATATTTTTAAAAAATCCACGTTTATATTTAGGGCTCTAGAAAAATATTTTTAAAAAATCCACGTTTATATTTAGGGCTCTAGAAAAATATTTTTAAAAATTCCACGTTTATATTTAGGCCTCTAGAAAAATATTTTTAAAAAATCCACGTTAATATTTAGGTGTCTGGAAAAATATTTTTAAAAAATCCACGTTTATATTTAGGTGTCTGGAAAAATATTTTTAAAAAATCCACGTTTATATTTAGGTGTCTGGAAAAATATTTTTAAAAAATCCACGTTTATATTTAGGCCTCTAGAAAAATATTTTTAAAAAATCCACGATAATATTTAGGCTTCTGGAGAAATATTTTTAAAAAATCCACGTTTATATTTTGGCCTCTAGAAAAATATTTTTAAAAAATCCACGTTTATATTTAGGGCTCTAGAAAAATATTTTTAAAAAATCCACGTTTATATTTAGGCCTCTAGAAAAATATTTTTAAAAAATCCACGTTTATATTTAGGGCTCTAGAAAAATATATTTAAAAAATCCACGTTTATATTTAGGCCTCTAGAAAAATATATTTAAAAAATCCACGTTTATATTTAGGTGTCTGGAAAAATATTTTTAAAAAATCCACGTTTATATTTAGGTGTCTGGAAAAATATTTTTAAAAAATCCACGTTTATATTTAGGTGTCTGGAAAAATATTTTTAAAAAATCCACGTTTATATTTAGGTGTCTGGAAAAATATTTTTAAAAAATCCACGTTTATATTTAGGTGTCTGGAAAAATATTTTTAAAAAATCCACGTTTATATTTAGGTGTCTGGAAAAATATTTTAAAAAATCCACGTTTATATATGGGCCTCTGGAAAAATATTTTTAAAAAATCCACGTTTATATTTAGATGTCTGGAAAAATATTTTTAAAAAATTCACGTTTATATTTAGGTGTCTGGAAAAATATTGTTAAAAAATCCACGTTTATATTTAGGTGTCTGGAAAAATATTTTTAAAAAATCCACGTTTATATTTAGGTGTCTGGAAAAATATTTTTAAAAAATCCACGTTTATATTTAGGCCTCTGGAAAAATATTTTTAAAAAATCCACGTTTATATTTAGGCCTCTGGAAAATATTTTTAAAAAATCCACGTTTATACTTGGGCCTCTGGAAAATATTTTTAAAAAATCCACGTTTATATTTAGGCCTCTGGAAAAATATTTTTAAAAAATCCACGTTTATGTTTAGGCCTCTAGAAAAATATTTTTAAAAAAACCACGTTTATATTTAGGCCTCTAGAAAAATATTTTTAAAAAATCCACGTTTATATTTAGGCCTCTAGAAAATATTTTTAAAAAATCCACGTTTATATTTAGGCCTCTAGAAAAATAATTTTAAAAAATCCACGTTTATAATTAGGTCTCTAGAAAAATATTTTTAAAAAATCCACGTTTATATGTGGGCCTCTGGAAAATATTTTTAAAAAATCCCCGTTTACATTTGAGTCTTGAAAATAATATTTTTAAAAAATCCGAAATTACCCATGAATTGTCCCACTTTCTGAGAGCAATAACCCCGACATACATACATGGCATGTATGTTTAACTCCGAAACCATTCACAAATCAAATAACTTGCATTCACCGAAATTCTGCCACAAGAAGTGGTATTTGTTGCTTCATTAACGCAACATCGAACTCTTCTTAGTTCGGTATTTGTTTTTCTGAATTTTTGTTAATAGCCATAACCAATTAACACTTCATTTTCATAGGCCGGCTTACAATTAGAGCCAAGTTACACGCCGGACTCGGAAGATCGTCGTGAATGTCACATCGCATGGCCAGTTGGCGTTAATGCCATAAGAAGATGAGACGAGCTACAAATAGTAACCGCTAACAAAATTTTAATAAGCGGGAACTCCCCTCTGTCTCCCCCACCCCAATCAACTTGCTATCCACCCAGCTAGCCGAAACAATTTCCGTTTACGGTTCAGGGCAACAAATGTTTACATTGATCGCCAGATTTGTTGTTAGTTGCGAGCAATGAAACAACAACAACAACGAAAACGAAGCAAAATAAATTTAATGTTTATTTTAACAATAATTTTGTTTTTATTTAGAATCTCTAGCGGCGACAACGGCAGTCAGCGGTGTTTAAATGACAATGACAACCAGAACTCCCAAGCGTGGAGATGAGCTGATGATGTTCTGGCAGCAAAAAAATAATAACGATTAACATTGAAATGGTAACTGAAAGTTCATACATTCATAATTCAAACATGCTCCACAGCACTGGCTGGAGGTACGGAGGGAGGTAGGTGGAAGCCAGGCAAACCTGCGACGTATTTGTATTTCGACTTAAGAATTATTATTATTTTTTCTCTAAATTTCGTAGATACACAAATTTACTTTCTAAAATCCAAAAATACAGTTAGCTATGGTAATGAGTGTTTGTATTTTCAAAATAAATTAGAGACAATTAAAATTAATCAAATCCAGGTAAACAGGAAGTAATATGGGATTTTATGGAAAAATTCGAATATTTATTAAGGGGGGATATTAATTCATAAATGTGGATTTTTTGAAAATATTTTTCGGAAGACCCAAATATAACAGAGGATTTTTAAAAATATTTTTCCAGAGGTCTAAATATAAACGTGGATTTTTTGAAAATATTTTTTAATTTATTAAAAAAATTTTCTAGAGGCCTAACAATTAACGAAGATTTTTTAAAAATATTTTTCTAGAGCCCTAAATATAAATGTGAATTTTTTACAAAATATTTTTCTAGAGGCCTAAATATAAACGTGGATTTTTTAAAAATATTTTTCTAGAGGCCCAAAAATATAAACGTGGATTTTTTAAAAACATTTTTCCAGAGGCCCAAATATAAACGTGGATTTCTTAAAAATATATTTCTAAAGCCCAAATATAAACGGGGATTTTTTAAAAATATTTTTCTAGAGGCCTAAATATAAACGTGGATTTTTTAAAAATATTTTTTTAGAGGCCCAAATATAAACGTGGATTTTTTAAAAATATTTTCCGAGAGGCCTAAATATAAACGTGGATCTTTTAAAAATATTTTTCTAGAGGCCTAAATGTAAACGTGGATTTTTTAAAAATATTTTTCTAGAGGCCTAAATATAAACCTAGATTTTTTAAAAATATTTTTCATGAGGCCTAGCCATAAACGTGGAATTTTTAAAAATATTTCTCTAGAGGCCTAAATATAAACGTGGATTTTTTAAAAATATTTTTCTAGAGCCCTAAATATAAACGTGGATTTTTTAAAAAATATTTGTCTTGAGGCCTAAATATAAACGTGGATTATTTAAAAATGTTTTTCTAGAGGCCTAAATATAAAGGAGGATTTTTTATAATTATTTTTCTAGAGCCCTAAATATAAACGTGGATTTTCTAAAAATATTTTTCTAGAGTCCTAA